GATGACAGCGATAGTCCAATGGGATTCATCGAGCTCACCATCCGCTCCTCAGCAGAAGAATGCATGACCTCCCCAGTCCTCTACATCGAAGGCTGGTACGTCGACCCCGCACACCAAGGCAAAGGCGTCGGACGCGCCCTCATGAACGCCGCCTTCGAGTGGGGACGCGAGCACCACTGCAAAGAAGCCGCCTCCGACGCGCGTCCGGATAACCAGCTTTCAATCGCCGCCCACCACGCGTTGGGATTCGAGGATGCGGGAGTCATCCATTGCTTCAAAACAACCATTGATTGAGCAGCCCTGACCCACATCCCCGATAATCCAAACTCCCGATAAACCCGCCACATCTTCCCGCCGATCCCTGTTCCAGAACCCGAACCCATTTACGGAAAAGGAACAGACATGTCATACACCGCCATCACCGCCGGCCTCCTCATCGCCCTCTCCTCCTCCACCTCTGCGATCACCGCGCCAGAAACTTCACAAGCCTCGTTCGACAGCTACGAATCAACCGACCAGTTCACCCAAGAGCAAACCATCTCCACCCAAATGATGGCTATCAACGACGCCGTCGAAGCCACCAAATCAGATCCTTCCGCGATGTGCTTCGTCGTTGTCCTCCCAGAGAACTACGAGCAAGCCCGCGCCATCCGCGATCAGTGGACTTCAGCACGCAGCAACTTCAACCAGACCAACCACCCCGTCTTCTTCGTGCGTGGAGAAGACGCGCAGTTCGTCATGGAGAACGCGTTCATCCAGTCCGCGCCCGCAACCATCGCCTTCCGCAATGGTCGTCCCTACCACTCGCGCACCGGAACCTTCACCGAGAAGAACCTCCACGCGTTCATCGCCCTCGCGTTTGATCAGTCCGCACCGCTCACCAACGCGCCGGACCAAACCAAGTACCTCTTCGAGTCCATGTCACAACTCGCGTTCAATGATCAGGACGCACCCGCCGCCCAAGGCGCCTGCCAGATCATGCTCAACCTCCACGCGCTCGTCGCAGGCCCATACGCCTCCACCTTCTCCGACTCCGATCTACAGGACATGACCGACCTCTACAACCAGACCAACACCACACTCGCAACACTCGACCTCGAAGACCAGTCCGTCATCGATCAGATCGAGCGCACCTCATCCATCGCGATGAAAACCTGGAACAAGCGCACAAACTCCACCTTCGGCATCGGGATCTGGTTCGACCTCGCGCTCACCACCGGAAACGAAGCGGACATCCTCGCATGGATCGACGAAGGACTCGCGAGCCCAGTCAACGCATCACGCGTCGAGCAATCCCTCGCCGACTTCGGACAACCACTCGCTCAGCTCCTCATCGCAAGCAACCGCTACGAAGAGCTCGCGATGACCATCACCTCCCCATCGCAGATTCAGGAGCACTTCGAGAACGCATCAGTCCTCGCCGACGAGATCGCCGCGATTGACTCATCAAACACCGAATCGCTCCAGCACCTAATCAACTCCGCGACCGAGCAAGCCGCCGCTTACCACGCCGCGCTCCTCCTCGCCGGACGCGACTCGCAAGCCTGGGAAGTCGCGCAGCTCACTGAGGACTTCGCGGGACCAGAAGCCGCCTCCGCCGCGATCTGCGCCGCCGCCATCAACGTGGGCTCGCTCCAAGACCGCCACGCGTTCCTCATCAAGAACCTCGACCAAGCACAGCACGCATCACTCATCCAAGCGATGAACACCAGCTTCGCCGTCGTCCCAGCCGAAGATTAAGATTCTCTATCAACCCACACCCCCCCCAAAAGCACGGCAAAAGCCGTGCTTCTTTGTGCAACAGCATCGCCTTCGCCCGACGAATCAGAACTTTGGGGTGGATCTGGACAATTAAAGATAAAAAGATCCAAATTAACTAGCCGTCCCATAACCATGTGTCACATTCCACTTGCAGGAACACCAACACAAGGAGTGGGACTCATGAAAACACAAATCACCAGCATCGCGTGCACCCTCGCATTCGCATCCGCCGCACACGCCGGACTCACGACAGGCATGTACGCCGAACTCCAGTTTCAACAACTCCATATGGATCTCGGAGGAAACTACCTCGATCTCGAATCCGTACCAGCCGGGACAAACCTCAACCCCGGAGCGGACCCCTTCGGAGTCGGCGCACGCTTCGCATCCGTCATCCAAACCAACGGCACACCATTCGGTCCAGAGCATGTCGAAGTCTCAAACAGACACCGATTCGCCGAGTTCGGAAACACCATCGTCGGCTCACCCTGCGGAGGATGCACAGACGACGGACGAGTCGGATACGAAGTCCGCTTCGACGAACTCCAAGCACGCGCCGGTCTCAGAAGGATCTGGAACAGCTTCTCACTCACAAAGTTCTACAACGCGGACGGAGATCTACTTGCCGAATACCGGAATGTCCTAAGCGCTGAGTTCGTCGGATACATCGCCGACTCACAAGATCAATCCACCTGGGTCGCGCGCATCGTCATGGACGGCCTCGCAGATCGAGGAACACGACAAGTCGGACACTCCGACGACCTCTACTTCGGAACCCAGATCCCTGCACCTTCCGCGCTCTCAGCGTTGATGCTCGCCGGATTCGCAACAAAGCGACGCCGCTGAGAACGAAACACAAGACCCTCATCAAACAACGACCCAGGAGAGCCCGGTTCAATTGCCGGGCTTTCTTCACAAATCCAAAATACCACCTCACTGCAAACAACGAGATCATCCTTGCATCCCTTACTCAAATCATGGACAATCGCCCCATATCGAATCACTCGAGAGGGAACCAAATGCACCACACATCATCCATCGCCGCACTGCTCGCAACCACCACCGTCATCGCGACCCCAGCCGTCGCCCAGACCTCCACCACCTTCACCTACCAAGGCGAACTCTCCGAGTCCGGCTCACCCGCAGAGGGCATGTACGAGTTCCAAGTCCGACTCCTCGACTCCATCGGCACACAAATCGGCACCACCCAAACCCCCATCGCTGATGTCGTCGAAGGACGCTTCACAATCAACCTCGACTTCGGCGCCGGCGCTTTCACCGCCGACTACCGCGAGATTGAAATCTCAGTCAGATCCGTCATGGCAGGCGGCGGATTCACCACCCTCTCCCCAAACCAACCACTCACCTCAACACCAGTCGCGCAGTTCGCGCTCGCCGGAAACGAAGGACCAGTCGGCCCCGCCGGACCAGAAGGACCCGAAGGCCCACAAGGACCACAAGGCAATCAAGGACCCCAAGGCATCCAAGGCGAGCAAGGCCCAACCGGTCCAGAAGGCCCCGAAGGACCGCAAGGCCCACAAGGAGATCCCGGCACAACGAGCTGGCTCGGACTGACCGACATCCCCGCCGGATTGGCCGACGGCATCGACAACGACACCAACACCACCTACACCGCCGGACAAGGACTCCAACTCACCGACACACTCTTCTCCATCCCCTTAAACTCCATCAGTTCAGTACTGATCGCTGCCAACGCGATCGGAACCTCCGAACTCGCAGACAACACAGTCGGACCATCACACCTCGCAAACAACGCAGACTCACTCGCACGCGTCTCCGCGAACCGAATCCTCTTCGACGCCGGAGGAACCGGAGACCTCTCCATGCCCATCTCCGACCTGAGCATCGGATCCACCGGCGCCGCAGCCACCCCGCTCCATGTCTGGAACGGCACCGATGTCGCAGGAGGTTCCGGAGGATACCTCACACTCGGACCAAACTCCCAAAGACTCATCTTCGATGAAAATGAAATCTCATCACGCGCATTCGGAATCGCCTCCGCCCTCACACTCAACGCCGACGGCGGGAACATCATCCTCGGAAACTCTAACGACGACGGACTCGTCGCAATCGGACTCAATAACCCCTCCGACCGCTTCCACATCAATACCGCCGCAAGACAGTCCGCATTCCGAATCCAACAAGACGGCCAAACCCGCATGCGCATCAACGAAAACGGCGGAATCTCCCTCGGAGCAAACAACACCACCGTCGCAGACTCCAATGTCTACATCCCCCAATCCCTCGGCATCGGAACCCCAACCCCAGAAGAACGCCTCCACCTCGCCGTCTCAAGCGCCACCACCGAGGGACTCTTCATCACATCAGGAACAGATGAAACACTCTTCGCACCCTCAAGAATCACCGCACAAGACGACTACCTCATCGAATCTGATATGGACCTGGGTCTCGATGCAAATCTAGACATGAATCTCAACGCAGGAACCAGCCTGAATCTCGACGCAAGCTCACAGATTGATTTCCAATCCAACTTCCTTGATCTCAACGCCATCGCAGAAATCGACCTCATCGCAAACCTCCTCGACCTCAACGCAAACGCCACTGTGGACATCGACGCCGCCGGCACCATCGATCTCCTCGCCGGAGGAAATGTCGATATCGACGGCTCCCTTGTCACCGTCGAAGGCACACAATTCTTTGGAAGCAACGTCAGCATGGGAACCACCTCCACAACCTTCCTCCTCACCGTCAACGGCTCCGCAGGAAAGCCCGGAGGCGGACTCTGGTCCGTCTTCTCCGACGCACGCCTCAAAACAAACATCAACCCCATGACCGGCTCCCTCGACACCCTCAGCGCCCTGCGCCCAGTCACCTTCAACTACAACGACCCAAACCACTTCTCCTATACCCCAGGAACCATCTCCGGATTCCTCGCTCAAGAAGTCCAGCAGGTCATCCCCCAATGGGTCGAGCAATCCGACGACGGCTACCTCTACCTCAACCCCGTCGGATACGAAGCCATGGTCGTTGACGCCCTCCAAGAGCTCCGCGCCGAGAAAGACGCACAGATCGCCCATCTCCAAGCACAGCTCAAGCACCAGCAATCCCAGAACCTCGCCCTCCGCGAACGCCTGGAACGTCTCGAACGCGCCGTGCTGCAGATTTCTCAATAACCCCATCTGCCCTCCCATCCCAGCCGTTTTTCTCTTGTGCGATCCGCCCATTCTGATACGATCTGATCAACAGAGGAGAGCCCCATGAACACGATCCGTGTCTCGATCGCGATCATCATCACGATCTTCGCGATGCTGCCCGCAACCACCAGCGCCCAAACCGGAACCCCCGCAACCAACGCCTTCACCTTCCAAGGACAGCTCAACTTCGAGGGCTCACCCGTCAACACCACCCTGCAAGTCAGCTTCCGCCTCTTCAACACCCCCACAGGCAACGGCATAAACGACGTCATCTCCGATGAACTCATCCGCAACGTCCACTTCGACGCCAAAGGACGTTTCGCCGTCCTCCTCGACTTCGGAGACACCTACAACGGCTATCAAATCTTCAACGGCGACGAACGCTACATGCAGATCACCCTCCTCGACCCACCAGGCGGAATCGAAGAAGACTTCCCCCTCTCACCCCGCACCAAACTCAACGCAACCCCCCTCGCCGCCTACGCCCTCAACGCGCGCATCCCGTCCTTCTCCGAAATCTCAGAAGGCACCCTCGAAAGTACAGACAACCAAGGCAGTCTCGCGCTCAACACCCTCGACGACGACCTCGGACTCACCATCCGACCAAACGGAGGCGTAGGCACCCTCTTCACCTACTCCGGGATCCACCCAACCAACCCCTTCGAGATCACCACCACCCAAGGCCCACTCTCACTCAAAGCCGAACAAGACGACCTCACCCTCACCAGCAGCGTCGGAGACATCAGCCTCAGCGCCGAGCTCGGAAAGCTCGACATCTCCTCAAGCCAGCGCCTCTCAATCTCGAACCCCACCTTCGGTTCAATCGCGCTTGAACCAAGCGGACTCAATATCGACGCCGCCATCCTCAACCTCGACGCCTCCTCATCAATCGACATCAACGGCGCATCAGCGCTCTCACTGAGCACCGCCGGACTCCTCTCAATCACTGCATCGATCACCACCATCAACGGCAACCAGTTCGACGGCGCCAACGTCATCATCAACCGTAACCTCCTCGCCACCGTCAACGCCGCCAAACCAGGAGGAGGACCCTGGGCCGTCCTCTCAGACAAACGACACAAATCAAATATCGCCCCCCTCCAAGGCTCCCTCCAAACCCTCCTCGCGCTCAAACCCGTTACCTACCAGTACACCGACCCCACCAACCCGATGTACCTCGAAGGAACCCAAACCGGATTCGTCGCCCAGCAAGTGCAAAGCGTCATCCCCCAATGGATCGACCATTCCCCCGATGGCACACTCCTCCTCACCCCGCGCGGCTTCGAAGCGATGGTCGTCGATGCCCTCCAAGAACTCCGCTCCGAAAAAGACGCACAGATCCAACAACTCCAGCAAGAGAATGCAACGCTCCGCGCCCGCCTCGATCGCATCGAACAACACCTCATGAGTCAACCAAGCAACTGACCGCTACGCTTCTGTATGGAACAAGCGCCACAAGATCCAAAGCGCACCCGCTTCTGCGTCAACAACCCCAGAACACTCGAAGAACGACAGTTCCTCTTCGATCAGGGGTTCGTCTGCCGCGATTGCCTCTCCAACTGCACGCGCTGCTTCGAGACCCGATTCCTCGAAATCAACGACACTTTCGTCGAAGGCGAGTCCTACACACAAATCCTCAACCAATCAGACCAATCCCAAAAACAACAACCGGCCCCCAAGTAGGAGACCGGCTGCAAGAGAGATTCTGTCAATCAGCATCAAGCCGCGCGACGACGAGTCGTCTTGCGTGCAGCGGTCTTGCGACCAGTGCTCTTCTTCCCAATACGACCAACGACCGCCTTGCGTGCCGGGCTCTTGCGAGTCGCGGCCTTGCGAGCGGTCGTCTTGCGTCCAGTGGTCTTCCGAGCAGCAGTCTTGCGTGCTGTGGTTTTGCGTGCCGTGGTCTTGCGAGCGGTCTTACGAGCAGTCGACTTGCGTGCGGTGCTCTTCTTCGCGGCCGGCTTGCGAGTGCTCTTCTTTGCCACAGTCTTACGAGCTGTAGTCTTGCGAGCAGTGGTCTTCTTCGCAGCGGTCTTCCGTGCTGCCGTCTTGCGAGCGGTGGTCTTCTTCGCAGTCGTCTTACGAGCAGCAGTCTTCTTAGCCGCAGGCTTACGAGTCGTTGCCTTCTTCACAGTCTTGCGTGCTGCAGGCTTGCGTGTTGCAGTCTTCTTCGCAGTGGTCTTACGAGCAGCTGGCTTGCGAGTCGTGGTCTTCTTCGCTGCTGGTTTGCGAGTTGCTGACTTCTTCGCGGTGCTCTTGCGAGCAGTGGTCTTCTTCGCCGCAGTCTTCTTTGCTGCAGGCTTGCGAGTGGTAGTCTTCTTCGCAGCAGTCTTGCGTGCTGGTGACTTCTTCGCAGTGGTCTTACGAGCAGTGGTCTTCTTTGCCGCAGTCTTGCGAGCGGTGGTCTTCCGCTTCGCCGCAGGCTTCTTCGCAGTGCTCTTGCGGGCCGCTGGCTTCTTAGTAGTCGAAGCCTTGCGGGTGGTTCGTTTCGCCGTCGATTTCTTCGCCGGGTGTTTCTTGGTTCGTGTTGCCATGACAGTTCTCCGTATGCCCGATGCTTCCGGGCGCGTGTTCCAATACCGCCGGAGTTCCGTCCCCGGCATCAATCGCCTATCAACAACGACAGGCATACCGCACCAACAGAGGTGCAGCCCCGTTTTCGACTTTCCAAGGTCCCCATATCAAGAACCAATACCAAAATTATAAAAAAACGCGCAACAACAACACCACAATCCGAATGCAAACCCCCTCAACCCCAATTCGCGCAACAACAGCGCAAACTCACGCCATCACACCCGATCAGACATTCACGCAATCATCCACCAGCAGATTCCACCGCCGCATTCGCTGCCCGTCGGCGCTCCGCCTCGTCGTACCACACCTGCATGTTCGCGCTGTCCCCGATCCCAGAGTACATCTCCGCGACGCGCTGAGCAATCGCGACATTGCGATCATCCAAACCCGCCGCTCGGATCATCGCCGCAAAAGCCTCCTCGCCGCGCCCTCCCTGATACAAGAAGATCGCGTAATCGACCATGATCACCGGGATGTCCGTACGCTCCTCCGCCAGCGCTTCATACAGCTCATATCCCTTCACCAGCGCCTGTTCATGCTGATACACCAGCCCGATCCGGATCATCAGCTCGATGATGTACTTTCGATCAAAGTCATTCTCCGCACGCTCCTCCGCGAGAATCAACAGCTCGACCGATCGATCCCGCTGATCCGCATCCGCAAAGATCCCCGCCGCGCGCCGCAGCACCTCCGACCGCTCGCTCCCCTTCATCGTCAGCGCCTGCTCAGCACGCTCCGCAGAAAGCGGATAATCCCGCAGCGCGTTCGCAAGCTCCCCAGCACTCAGCCAGGTCAGCGCCGTCGCGTCATCGCTCGCGATCGCCGTCTCCGCCATCTGCGCCATCAAGTCGCGCATCCCATACGCCGACGCCGCTCGCGCAATATCAATATACCACCCCGCCTTGTTCCCATGAACCTCAGGCACAAGCTCAACCGCTTGGTTGTACAGCTCAGCCACCTTCTCGCGATCACCCCGGAACCCCTCAAACGCCGCCTCCGCCATCAGGAACCCGATCTCGTTATCCTCAGGTTCGTGCGTCCACATCGCTTCCGCTTCTTCGACCTTCCCGCGCGAGTACGCCGCCTTCGCAAGCTCACTACGGATCAGATGCAGATCCGGATGCTTGTCCAAGCTCTCCTGATATACCACAAGCAGATTCCCTACATCACCCGTAGAAAGCTCCGCGAGCTGCCCCGCCTGGATGATCAAACTGTCCGTGGGATTCCCGTGCTCAATCACCTCGCGCAGCGCCTCGAGCCCCTTCCCAGGTTCACCCGCGATCGTGTGCAGGTACGCCTGCTGCGTCCGAAACTCCGCGTTCAGTGTCCACCCGAACCCGCCATTCTCAAACGAATCACCACGCTGATACCACCCCAGCGCTTCCTTCGCTCGATTCTGCATCTCTGCTGAAGCCATAAAGTCCCGTCGCATCATCGCGTTGCTGGGAGTATCAAACCCCGCGTACATCAGGTCTCCGCGCCAGCGTGCATACTTCGCGTGCCCCGTCCACGCCGACATCGCGAACATCACGACGCACAGCAAAACCAGTCCAAAACCAGCAAACTTGATCTTCCCGCCCTTCTTGAGCTGCATCGAGTGCAGCCGCACATTCTCCCGCCGGATCATCCACCACACCTGCACCGCAAGCATCGTGACGACCGCCGCCATCCCCCCCGCCATCAGCATCGGGACCTTATCAAACGCCCCGCGCGTCGCGTAAAACGCCCACGCAAAGATCACCGCAGCGCCCAGATCCTCCCACAGATTCAGGTCATACCGCCGCTTGCGTTTCTCCGCCGCCATCTTCGCGGCAGGCGTATCCTTCGCCTTCTTCAACACCGCAGGCCCACCAAACCCGATCGATAGCGCGTCGTTCGGACACGCACTGATACAGTCCATCGTCTTCATGCACCCCGAGTCCACGACCATCCCGTAGTCGCGCACCTCTTCGTGCACGCGCACATTGGAACTGCACGCGCTCGTGCAGTGTGCGCACCCCTGACAGTTGTCGTTCACCACCACGCGCACCGGCGCGATCTTATCGATCGGCTTAAAGAACGCCGCATAAGGACACGCATAAGTACAGAACCCCTTCGCGCCCAAAAAGTACACCGTCACAAAGCCGCACACAAACAAGAACACCACCGCCACAGGCCAGCTCGGCATCGTCGCCCAAAAATCCTCCACAATCAGCTCAGAACTCACCCGATGAATCTCACTCACCGGACGCAACCAGACAGGCCAATCCACCCCCGCCCCCTCAAGCACCGGACGCAAAACCAGCCGCTTAAACGTCGGCCAAACAAACATGTACATCCCAAGCACAAACGGCACCCACATCAACAACCGCGAACGGAACGCCTTGGGACGCACCCCGATCCGCGCCATCACCACCGCACACAAATCCTGCAACGCCACCACATGACACGCCCAGCCGCAGAAGAACCGCCCGAAAACCATCGTGATCACAATCGCGACCAAGAAGAAAATCGCCCCCGCATTCACAACCCCAACCTCAAGCGTCTCCATCGCCTCGCTCGGCTCAATCGGAGAAATCGTCATCCCCATGATCAACCACTGGATCAGATGCGCAATCATCAGCACATTGACCATCACCAATGCAAAGGTCCGCCACCTCGCAATCCGAGTCTCCCCCATCTTCGGCGCTCGTCCCTGAATCACCGGAAGCCCGACCGTACGCTCACCCGAACCGTTCTTTACGCATTTGTCGCTCATAGACACACTCTATCGTCAACTCACCCCCGCTCATACCCGATTCTCAAACAGTCCTACCCTATACATAAAGAACACGACACAGATCATGTCCAATAACTCCAACATACCGAACACGCCCGACCAGGTTTCTACAAACACCCCCTGGTCCCCCGACTCCTGGAAGTCCACCCCCTTCTCCGCGCCCTACACCTACGAGGACCCCGCCGCCCTCACCGCCGCGACCACCCGCCTCGCCCAGCTCCCGCCCCTCGTCACCTCCTGGGAAATCGAAAAACTCAAAGCACAAATAGCCCAAGCCCAGTCCGGACAACGCTTCATCCTCCAAGGCGGTGACTGCGCCGAAACCCTCGACGAGTGCCGACCAGAATACATCGCCAACAAACTCAAAATCCTCCTCCAGATGTCCCTCGTCCTGATCCACGGCCTCCGCACACCAGTCACCCGCATCGGACGCTTCGCAGGTCAATACGCCAAACCACGCTCCTCCCCAACCGAAACCGACGACCACAACGGCTCAACCTGCGAACTCCCAAGCTACTTCGGAGACCTCGTCAACCGCGCCCCCTTCGATCCCCAATCCCGCGCCCCAGACCCAAACCTGATGGTCGAAGGATACAAACACGCCTCCATGACCCTCAACTTCATCCGCTCCCTCCTCGACGGCGGATTCGCCGACCTCCACCACCCCGAATACTGGGACCTCTCCTTCTTCCACAACGCCGACCTCTCCGACGACCGCAAGTCCCAGTACCAGCGCATGTCCCAGACCCTCGCCGACGGCCTCTCCTTCATGGAAAACCTCGGAGAACAACGCGTCCACGAATCCACGCGCGTCGACTTCTACACCTCACACGAAGGACTCAACCTCTACTACGAACAAGCCCAAACCCGCACCGTCCCAAGAAGAAACGGCCACTTCGACCTCACCACCCACCTCCCGTGGATCGGAGAGCGCAACCGAAACCTCGATGGCCCACACATCGAGTTCTTCAAAGGCATCCAAAACCCAGTCGGCGTCAAAGTCGGACCAACCATGCAACCCGACGAGCTCGTCACGCTCGTGAGCACCCTCAACCCCACCAACGAACCAGGCAAACTCGTCCTCATCGTCCGCATGGGAGCCGGCAAAGTCGCCGATCACCTCCCCCCGCTGCTCGATCGCATCAAGTCCGAACAACTCAACGTCCTCTGGATGACCGACCCCATGCACGCCAACGGCACCAAAACCGCCGCGGGAATCAAAACCAGAAACTTCAACGACATCCTCAGCGAACTCGAACAAACCATCGCCGCCCACAAAGCCGCCGGCACAGTTCTCGGCGGAGTCCACTTTGAACTCACCGGAGAAGATGTCACCGAATGCATCGGAGGCGCCTCCGGAATCACCGAAGACGACCTCACCAAAAACTACGCCTCCCTCTGCGACCCAAGACTCAACTACCAACAGTCCCTCGAACTCGCCTTCCTCCTCGCCACCGCGATGAATCCAAGCAAGTAATCGCCACCTCCAATTCAGCAATGCGCACCAGTCCTATCCTCTCATATGGACATCCGCATCCTCTCAATCGGCACCCTCCCCGCACACCCACTCTGGAACGAGCGATCCCCAGTCCGCACCGGACACACCACAACAACGCTCCTGCAAACAGCCGACGCCAAGATCATCGTCGACCCCGGACTCCCTCCCCAAGCCGTTGAGGCGCGCCTCTCCGAACGCGCCGGACTCGCCCCCAAAGACATCACCCACGTCTTCCTCACCTCCTTCAACCCCGAGGCGAGAAGAGCCATCGAACTCTTCGACCAAGCAGTGTGGCTCATCTCCCCAACCGAGCGCGAAACCGTCGGGATCCCGCTCGCCCAGTCCCTCGCCCAGCTCGCCCAAGCCAAACAAGCCGCCGAAGAACGAGGCGACGAGCTCCCCGAAGACGAGCAAGTCCTCATGGAAATGCTCACCAAAGACATCCAGCTCCTCCAGCGCATCAAACCCGCCGAGGACACCATCGTCACATCCGTCGACCTCTTCCCCCTCCCCGGAGTCTCCCCCGGAACCTGCGGCCTCCTCATCTCCGAGCCCACAACCACCACCCTCATCTGCGGCGACGCCATCCCCACCATCGAGCATTTACAAAGCGCCAAAGTCCTCGAAGGCGCCGACCGCAAAGCCGCACAAGCAAGCTTCCACGAAGCCACAGAGATCGCCGACTTCCTCGTCCTAGGTCGCGATAACATCACCCCGAACAACACCCCCAAAGGTCTTGGACCACAAGCGTAAATCACCCCCAAGATTGGGCGAAATATCGCCGAAAGGACTGTCATGACCGACCACGCACAACAGTTCGATCTCGCCCGCGACCTCTCCCCGCGCCGCCACACCACCAGCGCCACCGACATCGAAGGCCTCGTCAGCGAACAACTCGCCCACTTCGGGATCGACAAGTCCACTCCCTACGGCGCCCACCTCGCCAGCTTCGCCTCCCACCTCTACTCCGCAAACGCCGACCTCAAACAACTTTGGGAACAAGGCGCCAAAGAACTCGCCAGTCTCCCAAGACAAGAACGCATCGAACGCTTCTCCGCCCAGCGCTTCCTCTCCTTCCAGCTCGCCAAAATCCTCGACACCCTCCAGCACCCCTCACGCACCACCTACCAATCCATCGTCACCGAACCCACCGACCGCGCCCGCAAAGGCCCCTACCCAGTCTTCGACAACATCACCGCGCTCTTCTCCTCCAAACCCGTCATCACCCGCACCGCAACCTACATCTACGCCTGCGCCGAGTGGGTCGAAGACGCCTTCCAAGGAAGGGAAATGCTCCACGAGATCTACTCCCGCCTCCTCAACCCAACCTCCATCTCACTCGCCAACCACATCGTCGACATCGAGTGCGGCAAAGAAACCGCCAACTACATGGCCTGGAACTTCAACTCAGGTATGGCCGCCGTAGACGCCATCCTCTCACACCTCTGCGGATACCAAGACATCATCCTCGCCTCCCGAAACGTCTACGGCGGGGTCTACCAACTCCTCGAAGACTGGTACGGCAAACAGTCCAACCTCGACATCGCCATCGAGTTCTTCGACGGATACTCCGAACAAGACTTCATCAACGCCTACAACAAAGCCGCCGAGAAACACAAAGACCGACTCGCACAAGGACGACAGATCTACGTCTACATCGAGTCCCCCTGCAACCCCCACGGACTCATCCTCGACACCCCCGCAATCTCAAGAGCCGCCCACGAACGCGACCTCGAAGTCATCTGCGACTCTACCGTTGGAACACCCTTCCTCCACCGCCCGCTCCAAAACCCAAACCTCATCGAGCGCCCCGACTTCGTCATCCACTCATACACCAAAGACATATCAGGACACGGCTCAACCACCGCCGGATGCGTCATCGGACGCAACGAACGCATGTTCATGCCAAAGAACACCTCAGCCCAAATCACAACACCAAGCGGCAAACAACGCACCATCGAGTGGAACGACACCCTCTTCTGGAACGTCTACTACATCAAGGGCGCCTTCCTCGACTCCGAAAAAGCCTACGAAGTCATCAACGGCCTCCACACCCTCGACCAGCGCATGCTCACCAAAGCAATCAACACCCTCACCCTCGCCGAAGTCCTCGGGAAACACCCGCACATCAACGTCAACTCAAACGCCTGCACCAACCACCACAACCACGCCATGCTCGAAAAGTGCATGCACCTCTCCCTCCCCGCGCCCCTTTTCACCTTCGACTTTGAAGCCCAAGACGACACCGACCCGCTCGACCAGGGACACTTCTCCCGACTCTGCTTCCAAAAATTCTTCGACCAGCTCGACCCCGTCTTCGGACACCAGGTCTCGCTGGGAACCCCAAACACCATCATCCTCTGCCCCGCGATCACCTCACACTCCGAGATGTCCAAAGAAGCCCTCAAAGAAGCCGGGATCGCCCCAACCTGCATCCGCCTCTCTGTGGGACTCGAGGACCCAAGAACCCTCCTCGCCCACATCATCCGCAGCGCCCAGTCCACCCTCGACACCGAGATCCCACACTTCTCCGCCCACTTCCCCACCGCCGACGAGATCGACGCGATCTACAAAAAACACTACCTCGATGTCCACCAGCGCTACGTCGATTCCACCCCATCGCTCAACCAGTACATAAACTAACCACTCATGGCCAAGCAGACCAAAAAACAACTCAGCACATTCGACAAGAAGCTCCAAGAAGCCGTCAACCTCCTCCAGCAAGGACGCTCCAACGAAGCGCTCGGAGGTCTCATGCAGATGGTCAAAATCAAACCCAACGACTTCCGTGTCCACGACTGCATGTGCATCGCCAACTCCGCGCTCGGACGCCACGCCGAAGCCGTCGAATCAGGAACACTCGCAACTCAGCTCGCTCCACAATCCGGAGAGATCCGCCACCGCTTCGCCAAAGCCCTCCAACAAGCCGGCGAACTCGAACGCGCCCTCGTCGAATACGAACGCGCACTCTACCACATCCCCGACAACATCGAAGCCATGCGTGGACGCATCAACACCCACTCAGATTTAGGCAACTACGACACCGCCCAAAAACTCCTCAAAGACCTCGAAGAGTACATCAAAGACAAAGACCTCCCCTCCTCCAAAACCATCGGGATCTACCTCGACAAAGCCCGCCTCTCCCCAAAGACCATCCCCGCGCAGGAAGTCATCAACGACCTCCTCAAACTCCACAACGACGAGTCCCTCCCAGAGCGCTTCCGCATCATCGCCAACTTCCAGCTAGGCCGTCTCTTTGAATCCACCAAAGACTACGACAACGCGATGAAGCACTTCATCATCGGGAACGAACTCAAACAAATGAAATGGGACCCCGATCTCTACGACGCCTACATCGACAAGCTCATCAAGTGTTGGAGCTCAGTCGCCAAGATCCCAACCTCCACACTCCCGATCAACAAATCCATCGACCCCGCACGCCTCATCTTCATCGTCGGCATGATGCGCTCCGGAACCTCCATGACCGAGCAAATGATCGCCCAGCTCCCCGACGTCACACCAGGCGGCGAAATGAACGCGATCGCCCGAGCCCCCGTCCCCTTCGAGCCCATCCCCAACCCCTGGGGCGGACGCGCCCTCCCCCTCACCAAAATGGTCTACAACCAGCGCGTCATCAACGAGATGACCAAGTCCGCCTCCGCCATGTACAACGAGGTCGCTAAAGAAGGCTCAATCACCGACAAGCAGCCCTACAACATCTTCTACGTCCCCCTCATCACCCGCCTCTTCCCTGGCGCCAAGATCATCCACTGCTGCCGCGACGCTCAGGACACCTGCCTCTCCAACTTCACCCAAACTTTCGCGCGCCCCCACCCACAAACCCACAACCTCTACCACCTCGGACGCTACCACAAAACCTACCAGCGCATGATGCAAGCCTGGCACGACCTCCCAGAAGTCGACATGCTCGACATCCAGTACGAGGACATGGTCTCCGACCCCGAACCCCAATCCAAGCGCGTCTGCGAGTTCCTCGGAAAGCCCTGGACCGAGGACATCCTCAACTTCCACGAATCCTCACGCAATGTCCGCACCGCCTCCCGCGAGCAAGTCCGCAAACCAATCTACACAAGCTCCATCAAAAAACACGAACGCTACGGCGACCACCTCGCCCCCCTCCGCAAAGGGCTCGGCATCGAAGAATAATCAGAAGACTATTCCCTCACCGCCGACTACCCTCACCCAATGAAAACCCTCCTCACAAACGACGATGGCATCCACGCCCCAGGAATCGCCGCGCTCCACCGAGCACTCGCAAACCCAGACAACCCCTTCGGAGACATCTTCACCGTCGCCCCCGCTTCCACACAATCCGCAACCTCCCACGGCATCACCTACCACATCCCCCTCATGGTCGAAGCCGCAAAGATCAACAACCAACCCGCACTCGCCGTCGAAGGACGACCCGCAGACTGCACCAAACTCGCTCTCACCAACCTCTACCCAGAACACTTCGGAAGCGCCGCGCAACCCGACATCGTCATCTCAGGAATGAACGCCGGCGCCAACTGCGGCATCAATGTCATCTACTCCGGAACCGTCGCCGCCGCGATCGAAGCCGCATTCATCGGAGTCCCAGCCATCGCCGTCTCGCTTCATATCGATGGACAAGCACCAGACTGGGACCGCGCCGCACAAGCCGCACGCAAAACAATCGACACACTCCTCCAAACCGGACTCCCAAACCAGCACGAAGTCCTCTCCATCAACATCCCCGCTACCCAGTACCTCAAAGATGACACCAAAGCCGTCGTCTGCCCGATGAACACCCACGCACTCGTCGACCAATACGAAAAGCGCACCACCCCAAAGCAATCCCCCTACTACTGGTCCACCGCCCACGGCCTCGACTTCCACTCCACAGACACCGGAACCGATGTCTACGAACTCTTCGAACGAAACATCACCATCACCCCCCTGACCTTCGACCTCACAAGACACGACCGAATCAACTACTGGAACGACCGCATCAACGGCTAAAGGCGTACAAAGAAACCGATGCAAAGAAAAAACCCCGACAACCGTCGGGGCTCGCTCTCTCTCGATTCGTTTGTTCAGATCAAACCTCAGCAGCCGCTTCTTCAAGCTTCTCCTGAAGATCTTCAAACACCGACTCAATCAGTTCATCAGTGAGCTTCAACGCTTCCTTGACTTCATCGATGATCACAAGCTCGCCCTGGTCAAGCTTGAACCCACCCTCAAGCCGTCCAGCAAGAATGTCCGCCGCGTGCACGAGGTACACAATCTTCTGTGTTTCAGTCGGACACTCAGTCGGGTTGTGATGGAAACCCGCCGCAGCCGCGAACGGTGCAGGGAACTTCCACTTCTTGCAGAGCCCAAGACCAAAGTCCATGTGATTAGCGCCGAAGACTTCTTCCTCACACTCGAGCAAGTTCCGCTTCGGATTACCATCCATATCCGCATCACAGCGATCGATCGCATCAATCAGATCACTCCGATCGTACTGCATCTCAACCATGATACCGATGTCGTGAATCAACCCTGCGAGGTACGCCTCGTCCGACAAACCCATGCCGAGCTTGTCCGAGAGCAGCTTGCAACCAATCGCCACCGCGTTGGAGTGCTCCCACAAATCCTTCGCACTAAAGAACGGCGTCAACTCACCACCACGGAACAGCTTCGCCAATGAAGCCGCGATCGCGATGTTCTTCACAGCGTTCAGACCAAGCATCACAATCGCACGATTGATCGAAGCGATCTGACCAGGAAGCCCGTAGAACGACGAGTTCACAACCTTCAGGATGCGAGTGCACAAAGCCGGATCATTGCTGATCACCTCGTGCAAGTCCTGAGCAGTACTCTCCGGATCTTCAACAAGCTCGATGATCTTCAGTGTCACCTCAGGGAGTGTCGCGATGTGCGAGATCTCCTTCAATGCGCTTTCCACCGCCTGTTCACGCTGCTCCTGTGTCACCGTCATTGCTCAGTACTCCATAGGTAAATAGGTGTTGATTCATCAAGACCATCGACCAATAGAAAGCCCTACTTGCGTACCTTCACAATTTCACAAGATCACCCACCCAAACCAAACCATCCCCGCGACCACACTCCATCCGATAACGCGCTCAGTACACACAGCGTTTGCGCACAAACCCATCCACAGACGGATCAATCTCCGCAAGCACCCGAGCAATCTCCACCCCCGCCGTCCCATCCCCATAAGGATGCGCCGAACCCCGATCCACACACGAGCACAACTCCCGCAGCGCCGCGCCAACCTCATCCCCTGACTCCACATGCACCGTCATCCCGGAGCATCGCTCGCGCCCAGACTGCCGAATCCCGACATCCACGCTCGGACACCCAAGCGCACTGCACTCAATCAACCCACTCGAAGAGTTCCCCACCAGCGCCCCGCCCTCCTGACCAATGCGCTTGAGCAACCCCACAAACACATCCCGCTCCAGATGCTCACGCACCACCACACCCTCATGCCCTTCAACTTCATGTATCGCCTCGAGAATCCCCCGTCTCCCAGGATCAAGATTCGGATGCATCACCAGCACCCGCTTCCCCTCAACCGACGCAAGCACCTTCCGCATCTCCTCCCGCTCAACCTCATCCCCGCGCCCGCAAGGATGCATCAGCACCACCACCTCCGGAGACCCCAGCGCCGCATACGCCCCGTCCCCAAGCGCATGAACAACCCCAAGCCCATCAATCGCCGGCGACCCCACCACAAACACCCGCTCCGCGTCCTCGCCCATCCGCCGGATCCGCTCCGCGCTCCCCTCCGTCGCCGCCAGATGCACGTTCGCCATTTTCGTAATCGCGTGCCGCATCGCCTCATCAGCGACCCCCTCCGCGCGATCCCCGCCATGAATATGCGCCAGCGCCCACCCCCCGATTGATGCCGCCGATGCCGCCGCAAACGCCTCGATCCGATCCCCAAGCACAACCACCCAGTCCGGCTCAAGCAACGAAAACGACCGCCCGAACCGCCCGATCCCCTTCCCAGTCGCTTCAACATCCTCCGCGCGCCCGACCCGCCCCGCCGTCTGCATCGGGATCGAATCCGCCACCTCAAACTCCGCTTTCACTTCTCGAAATGTGAGCGCCGGCTGCACCAAATGCGACCCCGCCGCCACCACCAACAACTCAAGCTCCGCCCGATCCTGCACCGCCCTCATCACCGGACGCAACAACCCAAACTCTGCACGAGTTCCTGTGACCACCAACACCTGACGCTTGCGATCCATCACCCGCTCACCTCATCCTGATACTTGATCCACTCCAGCCGCAGACCCATCGGAGGCAGCGTCGGACCACGATTCGAGAGTCTATCCGCGCTCTCCACCACCCCCCGCACATCCTCAACACTCATCTTCCCCCGCCCCACCTCCATTAGCGTCCCCGCGATGATCCGCACCATGTTGTACAAAAACCCCGACCCAGAAACACGCACCCGCACAAGCCGCACCCCGTCCCCAACCCCAAGCACATCCCCATCCCCACCAACCTCCTCCACCGAGCAATCAAAGATCTCCCGCACCGTCGTCTTCCGCCCGTGATTAATCTGCGCAAAGCCCGCAAAGTCATGCTCCCCGATCAGCACCCGCGCCGCCTCGTTCATCTTCTCAACATCAAGCTCATACCACGTATGCCACACATACCGCCGCCCAAACACAGGCCGCGCCTCCCCGCACGCGATCGTGTACGTGTACTCCTTACTCCTCGCCCCCCCGATCGGACTGAAGTCCTCATCAACAACCTCCGCACTCCGCACCAAAACATCCCGAGGCAGCCGCGCATTGACCGCCTTCACCAACGGCTCGCACCCCCGATCACTCGGCCACCCAACACCCTTGCTCACATCAGGTTCGCTCACAAAGCTCGCCACCTGCCCCCAAGCATGCACCCCCGAATCCGTCCGCGAAGCACCCGTGACAATCACTTCCTCCCGAAGCACCTCCCGAACCGCGCGCTCCAAAACTTCCTGCACCGTCCGCAACTGCGCCCGTTCAACCCCATCGCGCACAACACGCCCGATCTCTTTGTCATCCGATGCAACATCCCCACCCCCCTCAACCGGAGGCTCCTGCTTCTGCCAACCATAAAAATCCGTACCGTCGTACGCCACCGTCAACTTATACCGGACCCCACCCATCAGACCTGATTCTCAGTCGGCTCTTCCCCAACAGATTCAGCGCCCCCACCCTCAAAGTCACGAATCACCTTCGTCTCGCTTGCGCTCGATCCAGGACTCCCCCCCCCGTGCCCAAACCGCTTGTACTCCGCATCCGCCCACTGATCCCCCACCTTCCACCACACCAGCGTGAACACTCCCGCACCAACCGCGAGTAACAACCCCCCGATCAGCCAAACTGCCCAGTGTTCCATCATCAGCGCACCCCGATCAGAGCGTCACCATTTCCATATCACTCGCGATCGTCTCGCCTTCTGGCGCACCGACGACCGAATCCACATATCCAGACAGCGCTTCGATCTTGCCCATCTCGCCGCGCACGCTGTCCGCACAGAACAACTCGCCGCGTTCAAGATTCACGCTCTCGCTCGCGCCCGACACCTGACCAGGCTGATCATCCACCACCTGCGCCCCAAACGCCGGAGGATGCCGCTCGAGTGCCCCGCCCGACGACAACTCGATCAGATCCATCGCGATCTGCCCCTCGCTCTTGCTCGCGTGCTGCGTCGGGATCGCCTGATCAAAGTGCTGCACGATACCATCACAGTTCTCGAAACTCCCCGCCTTCTCCGCGAAGGTCGCGCTCGGAAGGACCACGCCCGCCATTTCAACAAGCGCCGAATCGAGCGTATCCATCAGCACGATCTCGCAGTCGCTCACCGACTTGATCAGCTCATCCGTCACCCAGTCGCTCGGATAGTTGCCCGTAAGCACAACGCACCCGAATCCTGATGCATCACGAAGGAACGAACCAAACTCCCCGCCCATCGCGTTCATCGACTCCAGCACGCGCCGAACACCGCGAGCATTGGGCGCCTTCTCGGCGCGAGCCACAAAGTCCCTCGCGCCCCCCGTGTTCTTAAACACCCGATCCGCGCCATCAATCGGCACAGCGCCGAGGTAGAACTTCGCCGAGTCATCAATCGACCGCACCGCCGTGACCAGCGCAAACGCTTCCTCGCTCGTCAGCATCGGAGAAACAACAACACCAAGCGATCCATCAGCGCGCATCATCTCGATCGCCTGCTTGTACGCCCGCGCCCAGCTCGCCTCAACCATCATCCCGTGCTCGCGCCGCACCGGACCAGCCAACCGATCCTCGCTGTGCACGAACTTCCACCCATACCGAACCTCGTCCGTCATCCACCAAGTATTGATGTCCATGTTCTCGCGAGGCTTCAATCGATACATCATCCCCTGATTGTGCTCGACCCAGATATTGTCCCCCGACGCAGTCAGCGGATCGATCCCCGCCGTCCGCTTCAGGAACCACACGCGCTGCGTGAACAAGAAGTCCTTATCAAGCAGCGCCCCAACCGGACACAGATCAATCACATTGCTCGCGATCGGGTTATCCAAAGGCACACCCGGGAACACATCAATCTGACTCTGGTTCCCGCGCCCATCAATCATCAGCTCAGTCGTCCCCGCGACCTCATCCGCGAACCGCACGCACCGCGTGCACATGATGCACCGATCCGAGTACAGGTACACATTGGGACCCAGGTCCTTCTTCGGCTGCTTCACCTTCTGATCCGTGAACCGCGAGTGACCACGACCATACTGATACGAGAAATCCTGCAGCGTGCACTCACCCGCCTGATCACACACCGGACAGTCCAATGGGTGATTAATCAGCAGATACTCCATCACCGCCTTCTGATTCGCGACCGCCGACTCGCTCTCCGTCGTGACGACCATCCCCTCCGCCGCGTCCGTCGAGCACGTCGGGAGCAGCTTCCCGCCCATCATCAGCTCGAGCTTCCCGTCATTCCGCGGATTGGGAGCCGAGATCTGAGCAAGACAAATCCGGCACTGCGCCGGCACACTCAACCCTTTGTGGTAACAGTACTGTGGGATCTCCACCCCGCACCGATTGGCAACATCGAGAACCTTCTCGCCCTGCTCAAACTCACACACAAGCCCGTTGATCGTAATGCTGCCCATATCAACCTCATACCGGCGCTCAAGAAGCCGCGCCCAACAACGAAGACCGTCAGCAATGACCGCCGCCGGACGCACACAACACCGACACTCCGTCGGCTGCCCTCTACTCTAGCACACTCCCCCCACCATCTCCCCAAAAACCAACACCACAAGCCTCAACCCGCCAGCACGAACCCCAAAACTAAGGCTCAACACCTTCCTCAATCAGTTCCAAATCCGACGGATCCTCCACACGCTCAACAGGCAAACTCCCCGCCCGATCCCAGTCCCCCGCGATCTTCCAAAACTCAACCTCGCCCCACAAGTCCTCAAAGTCAGGATCAACCCGCCACCATCCACCCCCTGTGCTCAGGTCATACCCCGAGTCAATGCACAACTTCCAGTACCCAAGCGCCCGCTCCGTCTCACCCGCCACCGCCCAGTAACACGCCAGGTTGTACGCCCCACCCGTAGCCAGACCAGAAACCAAAGGCTCTTCCGCCGGTTCCCCACTCCCAACCCCAACAGCGCGCCCAGTCGCCGCCTCCGCGATCAGCGCCACCTCCCGAAAGTCCGCCCGCGACTCCTCGACCTGCCCCAACCCGCGCAGCGCCCACCCACGCATGTAGTACGCGCTGCTCAACGAAGCCGTCCCCATCGCCTCAAAGTCCCACCCCTCAACGATCCGAAGCAACTGCTCCCAGCTGCTCCGCTCAATCGTCCGATCCATATCCCAGCTCCGGAACCGATACGCGTACCCCCGATACAACCACGCATTCGGATCATTCGGAAAGTGCACAATCAGCTCATCCCCCGCTGTGCGAGCAATCCGACCCTGCCCACTCGCCATACCTTGGCGAACATTCGCAACCAGCCGAGAAACACTCGGACGAGCATCCATCGCCCGCGCCCGTGGAGACCGAACACGATCAATCTCCGAAAACCCGATCACATACACAAACCCAACGAGCGCAAAGATCAACGCCGCCACCACCACATGCTTGACCGTAATCCCCATACAACACTCCTTTGACCAACCTACCCTACCACATATGGCCAACTCAGCAAAATCAATCCAACCCCCAAAGGGCACCCGAGACCTCTACCCCCAAGATGTCCTCGTCCGCCGCTACATCCAAAACGCATGGCGCGACGCCTCCCTCCGCTGCGGCTTCGACGAAATCGAAGGCCCAACCTTCGAAACCTCAAACCTCTATTCGATCAAGTCCGGAGAAGGGATCCTCAACGAACTCTTCCAAGTCTTCTCAGGAAAAGGAGGACAAGAAACCCTCGACAAACTCGTCGCACAAGGTAAAGCCGACTTCGCTCTCCGCCCAGAGTTCACCCCCACCCTCGCCAGAATGTACGCCGCCCGCGCCAAACAACTCCCCAAACCCTGCAAATGGTTCACCATCGGCCCATACTTCCGCGCTGAACGCCCACAAAAAGGACGCCTCAGAGAGTTCCTCCAACTCAACTGCGACATCATCGGACTTCCTTCCGACGACGACAACCCAACCACCCGCGCCCAGATGGACGCCGAAACAATCGAAGTTTGTATCAGCGTCTTCGCCGCACTTGGACTCGACCAATCCAACCTCAGCATACAACTCAACGACCGCGCAGTCATGTCCTCCCACTTCCAAACACTGGGATTGACCGACACACAGACAGACACCGCCTTCAACCTCCTCGACAAACGCGACAAACTCCCCCTCGACAAACTCGCCGAACTCGCCAAAGAAGAATCGCTTCCAGGCCCCTTCATCACCTTCCTCACCCGCCCACTCGAAGGAGACCCCTCACTCGAGCCGAGCGCCGACCAACTCGACGCGATCAACAAAGCAACCGCAAGCTACGCCGACTGGATCTCAACAAACTTCAACATCGCACGCGGACTCGCCTACTACACCGGCACAGTCTTCGAAGCCATCGCCGACGGCCACCGCGCCCTCGTAGGAGGCGGACGCTACGACAACCTCATCCAGCTCATGGGAGGCCCACCAACCCCCGCCGTCGGATTCGGAATGGGAGATGTCACCCTCCACAACACCCTCGAAGAAAAGCAACTCATCCCTGACGGCCCAGAACTCATGGAAGCCGTCGCAAGACCCCAAGCCTCCATTCGCCCCCAAGCCTTCATCGCCGTCCCCAACAACGACGAAGAAAACCGCGCCGCCGCCCAATCCCTCGCCGCCACTCTCCGCCGCGGCATCGAATCCGAGACCTATCTTAATAGAAACGACCGCAAACCCTGGAACCCCGACCGCTACACCGTCCGCCCCCTCCACACCCGCACCTCCTACAAATCCACCACCAACCCAGGCAAACTCCGCAAGGACGCCGACTCCCAGCACGCCAAATACTTTATCGAGATCCACGCCCCCAACAAAGTCGAACTCACCGACATGGACAAACGCGAAGCCATCACCTCCCCAACCCACGGCTCATTCTCCGCCAACCCCACAGACCCCAACTTCATCGGATCTGCACTCAACGAACTGCTCTAAACCCCCTACCATGACCCACCATGGGCACAAAGATCCAAATCAAAAACCTCGTCAAAACCTTCGGCTCAGGCAATTCCGCCACCAACGCCGTCGACAACCTCTCACTCACCATCGAACCAGGTGATCTCTTCTTCCTCCTCGGACCCTCAGGGTGTGGCAAAACCACACTCCTCCGAATGATCGCCGGATTCATCGACCCCACCGCCGGCTCAATCGCCTTCGATGACAAAGTCGTCACACACGACCCGCCAAACAAACGAAACACCGGCATGGTCTTCCAGTCCTACGCGCTCTGGCCACACATGACCGTCGCCCAAAACGTAGCCTTCGGACTCAATGTCCGCAAAATCACAGGCAAAGAACAACACGACCGCGTCATGGAAGCACTCGAAGCCGTCCAAATGGCCGAGTACGCCGACCGCAAACCCACCCAACTCTCAGGCGGACAACAACAACGCGTCGCCCTTGCACGTGCCATCGTCATCAAACCCTCCGTCCTATTGCTAGACGAACCCCTCTCCAACCTCGACGCCAAACTCCGCAACGACCTCCGCCTCCAGATCCGCAACATCTGCAAGGATTCGGGAATCACCACCGTCTATGTGACCCACGACCAAAAAGAAGCCCTCTCCATGGCCGACAAAGTCGCGCTCCTCAAGAAAGGCAAGGTCATCCAGCTCGGCACACCCGTCGAGCTCTACCGCAAACCCAAATCCAAGTTCGTCGCCGAGTTCCTCGGAGAAACCAACCTCATCCACGCCCAAGCGTCAGGTTCAGCATCAAACACCACCCTCCAAATCGAAGCCGGCGCCTTCTCCGCAAACCTCGACAATGACCACGCCGGAGACACCCTCGTCTCCATCCGCCCCGAAGCCATCACCCTCGAAAAACCGGGAACCCCAAACACCCTGCCAGGCCGCGTCCTCCACTCCACCTACCTCGGCGAAACCGCACAACACATTGTCGAACTCAAAGGCGCCCCCAACATCAAAGTCGCCCAAATGAACCCCTTCGCCCCCACCACCATCGCGCCAAACCCCGGAGACGAAGTCGCGCTGCACCTGAGCCCCACCGACATCGTCCCGATCGATCACGATTGATACATAAAGAAACCCGCCACAAGGACGGGTTATCTAAGTCTCAACAAACACAAATCTGTGTGTAAAGCGATGTGTCGTTAAGAACGATTTACTTCGCTGTGTACTGTCCGCGCGAAACTTTCTTAAAAACCTTCGTCTCGCGAATCAGCGCCTGATTCACGATCGTCCGGAAGTTTGCCGCAGTCGTCATGTACCCCGCATCGCGCGCCGCTTGAGCCGCATCAGTCACCGACATCGTCTTGTTCTTGAGCACGCTCTGCAGCGTGTCAACAAGATTCATCTCGTTGCGCGGACGACGACGGATCCCACCGCTCGCGCTCAGCGCGCCATAGCTCGCGAGCTCGGATTCAACCTCCGCAAGCTCCGAATGCAGACGCTCGCGCTTGCGCTCAAGACGACCAACAACCTTTGCGCGTCGATTCATCTCCGCCTGCAGTTCCTCGAAGGAAACCGCACCAAGCTTGCCGCTCGACCGAGCGCCAGCGTTCTTGGAAACCTTCTTCGATGTTTTTTTCTTCGTTCTTTTCGCCATGTGAACCCGCTCCTTTATGGGTAAGACATTCACCCGCATTGCGCGGGCTTGTGTAGTAGATCTGATATTGTGTGCTTCTAAACTCAGAATCTGATAGTGAACAAACAATAAGAACTTGCGGATCCAAAGACCCTCAATAATGAGGCACTCTATCCAAACAGTTTCATATTGTCGAGTGATAACAAGATGAATAAACAACTCATCAAGTTGCTCAGAGAAAGCTCAGCGAAAGAACCTCACCCGTCCATCGATACCCCAAGCCGCCCAAGCAAGCCATCAAACTGATCGAGATCGTAAAACTCAATCACCACCCGCCCCTTCTGCCGGCTCCTATCCGTCTTAATCTTCACACGCGTACCCAACTGCTCCCCAACACGCACCTCAAGATCACGAAGCACGCTCAGCGCCCGTTCGTCTTCAGGGTTTCCACCCGATGGAGGAACCACTCCCGTCGACGACCCAGCGACTTCATCGCCGATCGCACGCTCGAGTGCTCGAACATTCCATCCCTCCTTGATACAACGCGCCGCATACTTGCGTTGCTTCTCAGGAGACCCAAGCGAAAGCAACACCTTCCCATGACCCGCGCTCAGCGCCCCACTCGAAACCAAGCTCTGCACCTCCGCAGGAAGTTCGAGCAACCGAACAATGTTCGCGACCGAAGAACGAGACACCCCCACCGCCTTCGAAATCTTCTCCTGTGTCATCCCGTACCGATCCGCAAGCGCCCGATACCCCTCCGCAAGCTCCACAACATTCAGATCCTCGCGCTGGACATTCTCAATCAGCGCCAGCTGCGCGCTCGTCACATCATCCACATCCCGCACAATCGCAGGCACAACCCCCAGCCCCGCAATCTTCGAGGCACGCCAACGCCGTTCGCCCGCGATCAACTCATACTCGGCTTTGCCCGAATCCCCCCCCGTATCCCCCTCAACCCGCCGCACCACAATCGGCTGCATCACCCCATGCGCCGAGATCGACTCCGCCAGCGCCCCCAGCGCCTCCTCATCAAACTCCCGACGAGGCTGGTCCCGATTCACCCCAATCGCCCCCACCGCAAGCTCAACCACACGCTCTCCGCTTGCCAGTCCCTCCGCATCAGCGACCCCGCCAGCAACACGAACCTCTGAACCAGCAAGGCTTTGCGCCTCCCCATCGCCAACAAGCGCCGCCCGTTCCGCCCGATCGACCGCCGCATCCACCGCGGCACCCGCCGTCCCACCAGCCCCAGAGCTCTCAACCCCTCCAGCAATAGCCCCGCTCCCCCCGCGAGTCCCGTCAGCACCCAAATCGTCAGCGCCAACACCTGATAAGTTATCGGACTTAGAACTTTGTTCTACTTCAACAGCAATCGGCGCATCCACGAGCGCACTCAGCCCACGCCCAAGCCGAGAACGCTTCGCCCGTGTCCGAGTCTTCTTCGTCCCATTGCCGCCGTCATCCGATTTCTTCCCAGCCATGCCGATCCGCCTCCATGCAATCCGCCGCTCAAAAACCGCGGCTTGTACCGTCGCCAACCCCAACCTACCATCACCCCCATGGCACACAAAAACCAATCCGAGCTCATCGCCCGCGGACTTATCCTACACCAATCACACGCCTTAATGTGCCGAAGCACCAAGCACAACTACTACTATCTCCCAGGCGGACACATCGAGTTCGCCGAACCCGCCGCCAGCGCCCTCAAACGAGAACTCCAGGAAGAAGCCGCCGCCGACATCACCGTAGGCCCCCTCCTCCTCACCACCGAAAACACCTTCAACGACGGCAAGCGCGACCACCACGAAATCAACCTGGTGTTCCACGTGGAACAACTGAATGGCACCAAACTCGCCGCCACCGGATCCAGCACCAGCTCAACCAGCAGTGGGGACCTCCGCCCGGAGATCGAATCCCAAGAACCCGGCATCGACTTCGACTGGATCGACCTCGCCGCCGTCGCGGACATGGATATCCGCCCCCTCCAAATCAAAGCCTGGCTCGCCACCGGCGGCGCCCTCGCCCCTACCCACCCCTCTCCAAACTCTACTCCCAGCACCTCCCCAACCCCTCCCGCGGCCCCCCACCTCACCAGCTTCGAGATCCCCAGCTCAATCCCAACCCCCCACTAATCCGCCCTTACAGCCCAAAAAAGCGTTCAACGCCGAACTCGATACCAAATTGTTCCACGTGGAACAATTGGCCCCGCGCATCACGCCCCACAAACCCGCAGCCAAACCTCGGCACATATCGGCATGGCAGCGGTGGGGCATCGCCGAGCAGATGCCGCCAGGGAGTCGGCGAGAATGCTGACAATAACCAATTGCGAGGCATCTTCGGATTCGGCTTCATTGGGGTTTTGATCCGTCCGATACCCAGCGGATGCCTCGAGATGAGTTCTCATCTGATTCTTCCCAGCCTCGCCGATCGGACTCCGGCCGGCAGGACCCCCACGGCTCTCGACATGAGTCGGGGGCGGCGGCTCAATTGTTCCACGTGGAACAATTGGGTGTGGTCGAGCAGATTGATCGGATCGGGTCGGCCGTGGATTCGCTGTCGGCGGATTTTGATGAGGTGTGCCTCGAGGATCTGGATCGCGCGACTCGGGCACGGATGTTCGCGCATGAGGTGAACAATCTGGTGGTGGGGATCTCGGGGCGCGCGGAACGCGCGATGCGGTCGGGGGATGCGGCGATGACTCGGCAGGCGCTGGAGTTGGCCGTGGATCTTGGGGCGCAGGTGCGCGGGTTGTGTGGGGTGTTTATGGATGGGGTGGTGGGGGAGTCGTATGAGTACGTAGTGCGATCACAAGTTATTGATATACATGAGTTTGCGATTCTTTCGGCGTGTGAATATTTGGGTATTGATTGGGTTGATTGGGTGGTGGAGCTCGATGAGGGGTTGGGGGATGAGTTTGGTGTGCCGATGGGGGCGGGGGTGTTTGGGCAGGTGCTTTTGAATCTGTATCGCAACGCGCTGGCGGGGATCGCTCGCGGCTCGGCTCAGGGGGGGGAGTGCTCGGGGACGATCCGGCTGCGCGTGATGCGGCTTAATGGTGGGGATGATGGGGCGGGTGATGGGAGCGGGGGGGTTGTTGTGCGGGTGGAGGATTCTGGGGTTGGGTTTGGTGGTGGGGGGTCAGTTCATGGCGGCGGGCACGGGCTTGGGCTGCGTGTGTGCCGAGCGCTGTGCGGGGGGTATGGCGGGCGCGTTGAGGTGGGGGAGTCGGCGATGCTTGGGGGCGGGCGCGTTGATGTTGTGTTTGATTGAGAAGTAGATTGGGTGATTGGGATTGGGCGTGTGTGATATTCGCTGTGCTTGTTTTGGTGCGCGGATGCGGGGGAGGTTTCCCCCGCACCCCCTCTTGAAGAGTTTGTTCTAGAGTGGGTTTTGGTTTGGTCCTACTTTTTGATGCGGGTTCATGAGTGGTGGTAGAAGGCCCCCTCCGTCGCCGAGGACGGCGACACCTCCCCCGGAAGCCCGGGGGAGGAGAGTGAAGTCAATGACGACATCGACAGGTTACTCAGATGTGGTTGTTGGTTTCTGTCTGCTTTCACTGGTGGCTGGTTCTTTGGGGAGGTTGCGGAAGTGTTTGTTGAAGACTTTAAGCAATCGGGGTGTGAGTGTGTAGGCGATGAGGGTGGTGAGTATGCCGAAGGCTGAGGTGGACCAAGCGATGGGTGTGGCGGCGGTTTGCATCGCGGCGTCTTGTGGGCTGGGGAAGTAGTAGAAACCGACATTGAAACTCAGCGCGACGGATGTGAACAGGGCTGTGAGGGCGAGGATAGAAACGAAGACGATGATCTTAGTTGCTGGGTGCGATTTGTAGAGGAGTGCGTAAAGAAGTAGTGCGGCTGCTGGGGAGATGAGGAGGAACCAGAGCCAATCGGTGAAGACGATCCAGTCGAGGTGTTGTGCTGGGCTGTAGGTTTCTTGTGTGCGCTGACGGCCTACTTGTTCCCACCAATCTGTGTTGAGTTCGTATCTTGGGTTGAATTGATTGTTTCGTCTTGAGACATGGTATTTGCTGTCGGATTGGGCTTGGAGTTTGGCGATGTGTTTGGCGAGTGGGCGGACGGTTGCGTAGGCGGTGGATTGTGCCATGGATGCGTAGGCGACTGGTGCGGCGAGTATGGTGGTGAAGAGGAAGGTGATCCAGAGCGTGAGCATGAGGGCGTACTTGAGTTTTCGGTAGCGCCATGGTTGTGCGGTGATTCCGGCGGGTTGTTGCTGGCCGCATTCGGGGCAGCGGGTGGCGATGAGGTGGTAGTCGGGGATGTAGGTGGTGGGCTGGTCGGTGAGCTCGTATTGGCAGATGACGCAGTGGGTGATGCGTTGTTGTGGGTTTGATTCGGGCGGGGGTGGGGGCATGTGGGAGTATGGTAGTTGGGATGAGTCGTTTGTGTTTGGAATGATGATGCGGGGTACCCCCCAAGTTTCCCCCGCACCCCCTCTTGAAGAGTTGTGATTAGGGGAGGTCTTCTTCGGGAGTGGGGAGTGGTTCTGGTTCGTCTTGCGGTGTTGGAAAGAACACCCAGTCGCCTGTGATAGAGTTGGGGTCTTCGTTGAGCTTTGCTTTTGCTTCTTCGGGGGACATGAGTTCCGCGATTTGGTATTTGCGGATGAGCAGTTGTGGTTGGCCGTATTCGGAGATGTCGTCGTAGTACCAGCGTGGTTCGCCTTGGTTGTCGATTCGGTCGTCTCCCACTGAGTAGATGATGGGTCCCGTGTCTTTGAGTACATATCCGAGTGGTTGCATTGAGATGATGTCTACTGGGTCGATTGTGAGGAGGTCGTTGTCGATTTCGTTGATTGAATCGGGGAATGCGCCGTGACGGAGTTTGTGTCGATGCGCGGCGATGGTGAGTTGTAGTGCGAGTGATGTTTGGATAAGCATGCGGTGTCTGGATGCTGCTTTGCCGATTGCGGGGATGAAGATTCTGAGTACTGTTGCGATGCGGATATCGAGCGTTTTGAGTTGTTGCTCAATGAACTCGTCGGGGTCGGTCGCGGCGAGGCTTGTGTCGCTGGGCCAGAGTCCAGAGATGTTTTCGAGTGGTTTGAGGATGGAGTTGTGAACCCACAGCGATCGCTGGAATGGGACAGAGAGCTTTGTATCTGGCACGCTTGTGGGAACTACTCCGGGTGAGCCGAACATTGACATTTTCTGATATGAAAGCTGTCCGTTCTCGTCGGCCAGTCTTCTGAGTGAGTCGTGGCCAATGAGTGCTTCGGCTTCCCATGTGTGTCTGTCTGCGGACTTGTCTCCGATCAGGTCTGAGAGTTGTTTGAGGTGCTTATCGGTTAGTTGCTCTGCGTGATACTCGAGAGCCCAGAAGATGGTGTCGTACGCTCTTGAGGTGAGCGCTGATTGAACGAGTTGTGTGATGAGTACAGGGAACTCGTTTTGAAGATCAACTGAGCACAAAGCTGCGGAGATTTGTTGAACGAATTCGTCGGTGTTCCCGAGTTCGAGTTGGTACATGGCAGATGAGTTGATTAGGTTTGATGCTCTGCGATGTGCGTCGAGACTTGGTAAGAGGATATTGAGAAGTTCTGGATTCTGGTCTGGGTTTGGGTTCCAGTAATCGTCTTGAAAGCCGTGTTTGAGCATGGCGGCGTGTGTGTGCTCGTCGGTTGAAGTATGCAGGTAGCATCCGAGGTGTGGTTTGTTGAATGCGGTGAGGATCTGTTCGATCGCTGATTGTGTTTCGGGCTGATTGAGATACTGCACCATCGTGGCCCAGTTGGTTGGCTGGAGTGGTGATGATCCTGGGCCTTCGCTTTCGAGCATGTCTTTGTGGGCGTAATCGACGTCGACGAGGATTGGCCAGGCTTTGTCTTCATCGGGGATGGTGCTGAGCCAGTTGTTGTAGCTGGTGGTGGGGTTCCATTGTTTGGAGCCGTCGGTGAGGGTGATCCAGGGGGACCAGTTGTTGTGGGTGATCTTGGACCAGTCGGGGGTGAGGAGGGTTTGTTCTTGTGGGGTGAGGGGTTTGGTGTGGAAGTAGTTGAAGTAAGTCCACAACGCGGCGGTGGTAACGAAGACAATAAGTACAGCAGCTGTGATGAGGAGGGGTTTCTTCATTGGGGGATACTACGGATGTGCTTGTGTGTGTGCGGCAATTTTTGCTTGTGTTGGATTTGGGGGTTTCAGGGGAAACCCGAAATTGAGACGACTTTGGGGCTGGCGCTACAGAACTGTGTGATTCGTATCGATGTGTCGGTTCTCTAGCCGCTTCTTTGTGCGGCGCTCGTCGGCGGGGTCGGCGGGTACATTCTGTGGCTCACTTGAACTGGAGTGATCAGCGATGAACTTGACGATTCGGATGAAATTGGCGATGGGCTTTGGGTTCATCATTGTGATGTTGATAATGCTTGTCGGTGTTGTGCGCTTTAAGACGCAGGCGTCGGATGGGCTTTTGCAGTCTTCATCTGAGGCGGTTGAGTTGAGCTTGTCATTGCAGGGCGAGATTCATCACGCGTTGTCGATGCACCGTGGGTACATGATTCTGGGTCTTGAGGCGCTTGCTGATGAGCGTTTGGAGGCGTGGGATCTGATCGATGGGTACATGCGTGACATGGATGCGCTGGCGGCGGGCTGGGATGATCCTGAGCTTGTTGGTCAGTATGATCGATTCAAGACAGTGATGGCGGACTTCCGTGTTGCTCAGCAGCAGATCGCGGAGGTGAGCTGGACTGATGGTGATCTTCCTGCGAATGTGCAGTACTTTGATGTTGCTGAGCCGTTTGGCGATGAGATGGTTGCTCGTTTGCAGGCGATCCTTGATGAGGAAGAGTCACAGGCTGCGAGCGCTGAGCGCAAGCTGCTTGTTCGTCGCGTGACTGAGGCTGAGGGGCACTTGCTCAAGAGCCGAAACGCGATCTCTGCGTACCTTGGTTCAGGCAAGGAAGAGCATTTCGAGCGGATTGGTTCGTGCTTGACTGCGTGTCAGGCTTCGGTTGATCGTTTGATGACGATGACCGGTTTGTTCACTGCTTCGCAGCAGGCGAACTTCGATGCGTACATCTCGGCTCGCGAGACTTTCATTGCTGAGGCGAAGGAAGCGGTAGCGATTCGCAGCGGCGATGAGTTCTGTGTTTCGGAGACGATCTGTCTGACGCAGGTGACTCCACTGGCGATTGAGGCGGTGGATCTTGCGAAGTTGATCGCTGAGCGTCAGTCTGAGTTTAAGGAAGAAGCGATTGCTCAGTTTGAGCAGGCGAGCGCCTCGATGCTGGCGACTGTGCAAGCGGTCGGCTTTGGTGCGATCGCGGCTTCGACACTGATCGCGTTCTTCTTGAGCAGCTCGATCACGAAGCGTCTGAAGGCAGTGATGGAGTACGCGTCAAAGATCGCGGATCGTGATCTGAGCATGGATGCTCTTGAGATGAAGTCGGGTGACGAGATCGGTCAGCTTGCTGGCAAGGTCAATGAGATGAAGGATTCGCTCAAGTTTGTGATCGGTGATGTGATGAGCTCAACGCAGATGGTGGCGAGCTCATCGACGGAACTGGCGGCGAGTGCTGAGCAGATGGCAAGCGGTATCGAGATTCAGAATCAGCAGACTCAGCAGGTTGCTGCGGCTGTGGAAGAGATGTCGCAATCGGTCGCTGAGGTTGCTGCGAAGTCATCGGATGCAACGACTGCTTCGGAAGAATCACAGGCGCTCGCGGAAGAGGGCGGCCAGATTGTTCAGAACACGGTTGATGAGATGCAGGGTATCGCGACTGAGGTGCAGTCCAGCGCTGACACGATCAATGAGCTTGGTGCGAAATCCAAGACCATTGGCGAGATCATCTCGGTGATCAATGACATCGCGGAGCAGACGAACCTGCTCGCACTCAACGCGGCGATCGAAGCGGCTCGTGCTGGTGAGCACGGACGCGGGTTCGCGGTTGTTGCTGACGAGGTTCGAAAGCTTGCAGAGCGCACCACTGAAGCGACGGAAGAGGTTTCGGTCTCGATCCGTGGTATTCAGGGTGAGACCAGCACGGCGGTTGAGCTGATTGAGAACGGCTCGAAGCGTGTCGGTCGCGGTGTTGAGCTGGCATCGAGTGCGGGTCAGGCGCTGCAGAGCATTGTCTCTGGTTCGCAGGGCGTGCAGCAGATGGTTCGCGATATCGCGGCGGCTGCTGGAGAGCAGACGGCGGCGGCGGATGAGATCGCTCGCGCGGTAGAGGGGATCAACTCGGTCACCAATCAGTCCGCAGAGAGCGCCTCGCAGTCTTCGGCGGCGGCGTCTGATCTGGCGAAGCAGGCGGAGCAGCTGCAGGAGCTGGTCTCACGCTTTAAGCTCGAAGCGTGATCTGCTGATTGAATCTGTTTGTAAGATTATGAACCCTCGTCTTGGACGGGGGTTCTTTTCTATTTTGAATGTTGTGTTGGGATCGGGTACAAATGGTGGATGGTTCATGGTCGGATGGGAGATCGAGGGGCGGGGCGGGCTGCAGGCAGGGGGGCTGGTAGAGGTTTATATAGGGCTGCGTATCGGGCGTGGTGGTGCGTTGGGGTGTGTGCTTTGGGGGTGTGGTTGGGGATGGGGTTTGAAGTTGAACTGATGGTGTGGTTCGCGGTGTCGTGTGGGTTGGTTGGGGTTGGGGTGCTGGCGGGTGGTTGGTGGCGCGGGGTGTGTTTGGTGCTGGGGCTTGGGTGTTTGATGGCGGGGTACGCGGCGGTGCGGACTGGGGTGGTTGCGGTGGATCGGGTGGATGTGCTTGTTGGGGTCGATGAGGGTGAGGCGGTGCTGGTTCGCGTGCGGGGTGTGGTTGTGGAGGGTGTTGAGTTTGGTGAGGGGCGGGTGGAGGAGTGGGAGCCGATCATGTGGGCGGGGGTGCGGGGGCGGTGTGTTGTTGATGTGGATCGGGTATGGGATGGAGCGGATTGGGTGGATGCATCGGGGTTGGTGCGGGTGACGGTGGGTGGTGATGAGAGCGGATTGAATGTTGGCGATGTGGTGGAGATCGAGGGGGTGATGCGTGGGAATGGAGTGCGGCGGAATGTGGGGGATCGGGACTGGGCGCGGTGGGCGAACATGGAGGGGGTCGCGGGGCGCGTGTCGGTGATCGGCGGGGGGAGTGTTGAGGTGATTGGGCGTGATGGTGGGGTGGTGAGCTGGGTTCGTCGTGTGCGATCGTCATTGCGCGAGCGGGCGATGGTGGCGCTGGGGATGGATGAAGATGCTGACTCAGCGGGAAGGGCAGAGGGTGCGGGTTCGGTGGTGATGGGGGCGCTGCTGCTCGGGGAACGGGCGGCTGGTGGTGGGTATGAACGGGAGGTTGAGCGGGGGTTTGCGCGTGTTGGGGTGGGGCATGTGCTGGCGGTGTCGGGGTTTCATGTCGCGGTGCTGGCGGGGATGTGTGTGCTGCTGGTGCGTGTGGTTGGTTTGGAGCGGGTTTGGGGTGGTTGGTTTGGGATGCATGTGGAGGGGTTGGTGGTGTGCGGGGCGTTGGTGTTGATGTGGGTATTGGTTCCGGTACGGGTGCCGATGGTGCGGGCGATGGTGTTGATTGGGGTGGTGATGGTGTCGCGGGGGTTGGGGAGAAGGTATGACACGATGGCGGTGCTCGGGTGGGGTGCGGCGGATTGATTCGGTGATTGTGTCGCATGACAATCTGGATCACTTCAATGGATTGGTTGAGCTTGTGCGCGCGGGTGTTGGGTTTGAGCGGGTGTATGTTGGTGAGCACATGGATCAGGAGGGGAGCAGGGCGTGGAGGGTGGTGCGCGCGGAGCTTGAAGCGCATGGGGCTACGGTGGTGGTGATGGGGCGCGGGGATTCGTTTGTGTTTGGTGATGCGTTGGTGTCGTGTGTTGGTGGCGGTGAGCGTATGGAAGGGATGACCTCAAACGACACTTCGCTGGTGGTGCGGGTTGATGCTGGCGAAGGCGCGGTGTTGATGACGGGGGATATCGGGGCGCGGGGGGTTGCGGGTATTGATGATGAGGATCTTGAAGATGTGGTTGTGATGGAGCTTCCGCATCATGGTTCTGTTAGTGGTTCGGCTTCGGCGCTGCGGGCGTTTGTTGAGCGGGTGGATTCGAGCGTGGTGCTGCAGTCGACGGGACCTGAGCGGGTGGATGGGCGTTGGGGGGATTGGAAGACTGGGCGGGCGTGGTATGCGAGCGCGGAGCGTGGGGGTGCTTGGGTGGAGATTGGGATTGATGGGGATGTGCGGAGCGGGTGGGTTGTTCGAGAATAAAAAAAACGCCCCGATGTGATCGGGGCGCTGATGAGTTGCGAGGTATGAGGATTAGTCGTCTTCTTCTTTCTTTTTGTTTCCGAAGAGGTTTCCGATGCCTTTTTCGATTTCTTCTTTGGCTTCGTTCACGGCGTCGTCTGCTTTTTCGGTGAGGTCATCGGTGACATCCTTGAGGCCGTCGCCGACATCTTCGGGGAGGTCTTTGGTGAGATCGTCGATGGCTTCGGCGGCGCCGTCGGTGAGTCCTTCGACGGCTTGTCCGGCGCCTTCGAGGACGTTGCCGATTTGGTCGCCGACGATTTCACCTGCGCTACCGATTGCGGTGATGCCCATGTCTCCGAGTGAGGTGAGTCCGGAGAGGCCGTTGCCGAGTTCTCCGAGGATGTCTGTTGGTAGGATTCCGCCTCCGGCTTCGACGGCGGCGGTAAGGACTGTTTTGATGACGAGGTTGGTGATCTCGGCGGCGGTCATGGGTTTGTCTTTGCCGATGTCTTTGAGTTCGATGGAGGGGATGTTGATGGCGACATCACCTGTGAGGAGGGAGACTCCTGGCATGTTGGCGACGCGGATGTCGATGTCTTGGAGGGTGAGAGAGTCGATGGCGACTTTCTTACCGCCGGAGTTTTCTGGTGCGGCTTTGGTGTCGTTGGACTCGAATCGTTTGAGTGAGTTGAGGATGGTGTTGTAGTTGGAGGGGTCGTTGCCTTTGTCGAGGATGACATCGATTCCCTGGAAGGTGACTTCGGGGATGGTGATGGTGTCTTGTGCGATGGATTCAGGGTTGATTTGTACGGAGGTGGCGTTGAGGAGGAGGAAGTGTTCGGTGTCGAATCCCTTTGGGTTGTCGATGCGGAGGCCGTTCATGGCGAAGGTGCCTTCGAAGACTCCGAGATCGACATTGTCGACGGTGGTGGTGGTTTGTGTTGCGTAGGTGCCTCCGCGTTCGATGGCGGCTTTGACAATGTTGTCGAGTTGTGACATCCCGAAGGCGAAGAGCGCGACGAAGGCGATGACGACGAGGATGATCAGGACTGCGGCGATTTTGATAAAGGTTTTCATGGTGGTGCTCCAGTTGAGTCGTGGACAGATAAATCGTAGGGGTGCGGGCGAGGGGAGGTGGTGAGGGGTGTGAAACTGAGAATGGTACTGTCATAAGTATACTTTGTAGGGTGAGGCGGTTGTTGTATATACATGATGTGGGTTTGTGATCAGAGGTGTGCGTTTGAAACGGTTGAGGGGGTGGTGTCAAACACGATCATGGTATAGTGAGTGAGCGAAGAAGTATGATGAGGTTTTTCACATGTATAAGTGGCTGATTGTGGTGATGATGACTTGGGGTGTGGGGATTGGGTCCGTCGCGTGTGCTCAAGAGGCTGACGAGAAAACGAGTCCCTTTGAGCGGATTCGATGGGTGGAAGATAAGCCTGAGGTGCTGGTCGGGGGTGAGTGGTACAAGGCGATCACGATCGACGGTGTTGGGGTGAGTGATATTCTTGAGTTTTGTGAAGGGCGATGGCCTGGGTTGGCGCGGAAGCGGTTTGGTGAGGATCTTGTGGAAGCGATGCGGCTGATGGGGCGTGCGCCGAATCGGTTGGTGGATCTTGGTGTCATACGGGTGTCGGACAATGAGCGTATGGAGCTGAGTGATGTAGCGATGACCAAGGCGAATCGGCGATCGATACTTCATGATTCCAATGGAAGACCTGTGCCCAAGATTGTCCCTGAGTATGTGTCGCGTGATCAAGCGTGTGAAGACATTGATCGGTTCTGCGCGGGATTGAGGGAGCAGTTTGCGTATCTCGATCTCAAGGGTATTGATTTAGAAGGTGAGATTGCAGCGATCAAGGGGGGGCTTGGAGAGCGTGTTGCTACTGGTGATCTCGCTGATGTGTTGCATCGGCTTTTGATGCGGTTTGGCGATGGGCATGCGCGTGTGTCATCGCAATATATGAAGCGTCCGGGGATGTACCCTCCTTTCCTACTTGCGGAAGCGCGGGGCGGGGTTGTTGCGTTTGCTGCTGATCGTGGTGGGTTTGTTGACGAGGACTATCCGTATCTCGTTGAGATTGATGGGAGGGCGATTGACGAGTGGGTTGAGGCGGCGTCTAGGACGGTGGCGGCGGGCAGTGATCAGCTTGTGCGGTATCGTGCGCTGCGCGGGGTCCGGAGTCTTGAGCTGCTCCGCGTCGAGCTCGGGCTTGCTGAGAGTTCGCGTGTTGTGTGCAAGCTGGCGAAAGATCCGCAGGGGGGTGAGACGACTGAGGTTGTCTTGTCGATGAATGAGAGGCGTCCGATTTATGGTTCATGGCCTCGCACTGAGACGAGGGTGTTGGATGGTGGGATCGGGTATCTACGGCTGGAGCAGATGCGGGATGATTTGGTCCCGCATTTGAGGATGGCGATGAAGAGCTTTCGGGATACTCGCGGTTTGATTGTTGATGTGCGAGGGAATTCCGGTGGGACGAGGTCGCTGTTGACCGCGTTTGCGGGGTACTTGGTGGCGGATGATCAGGGTGCTTGGGTAGGGAATGTAGCTCGGTATCGCTTGAGTGATCGTTTCTCAGAGGACCATCTCGAAGCGCGGTCCATGTATCGCGCGGATGATCCGAGATGGAGTGAGCGGCAACGGCTGGCGGTTGGATCCTTTGCTGCGGACTTTGAGGCGGAGTGGTCTCCGGATGGGGAGTTTAGTGATTGGCACTTTTTGGTATTAGATCGTACTGGTCATGCGGATGAGTATTTTTATAGCCATCCTGTTGTGATCCTGAGTGATGCGGGTTGCTTTAGCGCTACGGACATCTTTCTAGGTGCGTTATCTGGAAGACCAAATGTGACACTGATGGGCGGGGCGAGTGGCGGTGGGAGTGCGAGGGTGCAGCGGTTCGAACTGCCGAACACGGATATTTCGGTTCGCTGTGCTTCGATGGTTTCGTATCGGCCTGATGGACGTTTGTATGATGGGCGCGGCGTGGGAGTGGATGTTGAAGTTCCTGTTGCGCCGGGAGATTTCTTGCTTGGCGGTTCAGATACGGTTCTCGAAGCTGGGATTGATTGGATACTTGAGCGTATTCATAAGCCTTGAGTGTGGGTATACACGCTGGGTTTG